ATATATCTTTACATGTTTACTGAACACATGTCCCCTTTTACTTGATTTTTCTATGCAGAATGAAACACAATTTCAAACAGTATCCCTAGAATAACCAGTTTCCCCCCATTCATTGAATCATCTCTCCTTTCCACATTGAAAGACATTATCTCTGTCATATCAAAGTAATATGTATGTGTAGGTCTCTTTCTGAGTTCCCTAAAAGTCCACTGATCATGCTCTCTCTTCCTATGCCAACATCACAGTATCTTAATTCCTAAACATTAATAATCAGACCCCATTCCTGCTTTTCTGGTTCAAAAGTGTCTTGGCTATTCATCTTATCAAATTCCATGGAAAACCCTGTTTTGACTGGAATTCCATTAAATCTGCAAGTCAATGCGTGAAAAATCAACATCTTCACAATATTGTCTTCCTGTCCATGACATGATATACCTGCTTATTTAGATCCTCTTCATAATTCCTTTGTGTAGAGGTCTTGAATTTTTTAGGTTAGATTTATTCCTAGACATAAATGTGACATTCTCTGACTCTACTATAAATGATGTCATAGTTACATTTCTAGATGTTTGCTGATGACATACAGAAATGCAATTGAGTTTTGTGTCTTAATCTTATTTTCAGGTACCTTGGTAAACTCTTATTATTTCTAATAAGTTGTAGTTTTGAGGGGTTTCTATGCAAAAACTCATATTTGTAAACAAAAAGTTTTATTGCCTCCTTTCCAAACATTTTGCTTCTATATTTTTGTCATACTGTACTTATGTATCCTTCAAGAAAATATTAAGTAGAAGTGCTGCTAGTGAGCATCCTTCTCTAGTTTCTTTCTTTCTTTTTTTTTTTTTTTAACTAGGCAAAGCCTTTATCTTTGTTTTAAACTATTTTCTGGTTCACTAATTGCAAATAAATAACTGTGTATAATCAATAATTAAAAAGTAGCATTGTCCCAGTGTCCAAGGGCCTTGGAATTTAAAATATCATAGGTTTACATTTTATCATATATAAAACAAACATTTTAAAAGCAGCTAAAATTCTTGAAATTTTATTATTTTTTAGAAGCTGAATCAATTCAGTTTGCCTCATTGTTGGAAGCTTCATCAAAATTCTGAACAAGATCACCACTTCCCCAAAAGTAAGTGGTACTTTCCTATCCAGCTTCTGCCAGTTTTGTTAAGCTTGTTGACACCAAGCTGGTTTAAGACACTGGGTGGCATTTCTGTTAGCTGCTTTGTCTCAGCACAGCTGGTATAATGGTCAAAGTGTTTGCTGCTAGAAATGTCTGAACATTGGGATTGTTAGTGTAGATCACCATTCCTTGGTTTGTAAACATACCTCTTTAATATCAGAGATATTGCTTATTCCTACTTTCTTTCAGGAGAACTAAAGATTTTTTTAATCATCTGTTGCAATAGATAATGTTTGCTGCATCATCTGAGGGCAGTTCCTTTTTACCAATGCACAATTGTGCTTGAAATTTGGCAAGTTTTTCTCGGTTTGTGAAGGCTTTTTCATTTTATAATGAAAACGGAAGTGGAATTTCGTGAGTGGAAATAAAACTTCGTGCAGTATTGGGGTTGGTACTAGAGGTCTCAGGCAGACCAGCTGAAAGGCCAGTTTCTGACTTTAAAGGGAAAGCCTCTAACATTAGTTAATTCACAATAACGTTTGTTCTAGTTTTTTTTTTTCTTTTGTAATAAAATTAAGGCTTTTCTCTTCTATTTCTAATTTACTAATCATTTTTTAAAATCATTGAATTTTATCAAATTCTCCATTGAGGTTATTCTCTTTTCGTCTGTTAATGTGCTTAGTTACATATGGATTTTCTAATATGAAACTCTCCTAGCATACCTGGGATAATAAATCTAACTTGGATATGTTGTATTATCTTTGTTATACACACAATCAAATCTGATTTGCTAATACTTTGTGGAGAATTTTTAATGAATATCCTTGAGTGAAATAGTCCTGTAATATATTTTGTTATATTGTTTCCAGTTGTCCAGGTCATGTTGGTTCCAAAGAATAAGAGAGAATTCCTATCAGTTGGCCTTAATAAACAAATGGAATTATGAATAGCCTCTGGGAATCTAAGCTATATATAAGTTGAAGAACTTCAGAATTGGCTACTTCTAACTCACTCTGGTCCTCAAACTTTAAATATAGATACTTATGTCCCATAGCAGATTCTGGACTTTTACCAAGCACCTGAAATGATTCTGATAAAGATAATCTACTAACTATGCTTTTGAAAAACATTACCGTGGTACAGAAGAGTTCTTGGCTTTCATTTGCTCTTGCAGCAATCCAGACCTGAGACAAGCTCCACAGCACTACATGGTGGAGATTTTAGTGAAAGAGTTGAAGAGCCAAAATGCCCTTGCTTCCCTAGCATCTTAATAGGATGCCCACGGTTTGCAGATGCCCTGGTTTATGTCTATGATTCCAGCATATGAGTAACGTTCCCTTTTTCATTAAAAAAAAAAAAAAAAGTCTCAACTTGAATGTTCTTTTGGAAGCCTTCATGTTATAGTTTCTCCTCTTCTTTATGGCAAGACAGGCCTCAGGTTGCCTCAGGCTTTTAAGACTCCTCCTCTCCTACATTAATTTATTCCCCCAGCTCTAAATGCTAAGTGAAAAGCAGAGTTTGAGAGGGTATGGAACGGGGAAAACTTATCTTTAAACCAAGGCTAAATATCCTTGCATTTCATCGTATTCAGTTAGTTTACTGGATGCAAAATCTATGTAGGAATTTGGGCCAAAGCCCTAGTTATTAATACTCTAAAATTTTATTTTGCCTGTAAAAGTCTATTATAGCCATGGTGAGCTAGAAGAAGTCTGGAGTTTGGACTACAGAAGGAAAATAAAATCTTCCTACTACAACTAACACATAATAATAAATAAAATACGTAAATTCTAGATTTTACTCTTCCAACCTACGCAAGTCCAAGATAAGGCCTCAGGTGTCACAAATCAAAATTTGCCAACTGAGGAATAAAGGTAGCCTGAGAGGTACTACTGATATGAAATGTCTAAGTACTAATATCATTTATTTTTCACAATTCTTTTCCTTGAGGACCACGAAACTACCTTCATTTCAACCGAAGTTAATTACAAGCCTATCTATTTTCAGAAGTTCAATTTACATGCTAATATTCATGACTAAATAATCTATCCTTACCTTTGAAAGAACAGTTTAAAATAGACATTCAATGAAATGTTATTTCAAATAACTGTACAGAAATGTAAGAACTAGACTTTTAAGCTCTCATTTTAACAATATGAAATAAGATACACTGGCAGTATCTTATGTAAGAAAACTTATAATTTCATTCATATATCAAACAATACATTTCTGGAATAAACCTGAACACTAGAGGTACCTACTTCTACATTACTTAGGCTTGAAAACCCTCTCTTTGGGGCCGGGCGCGGTGGCTCAAGCCTGTAATCCCAGCACTTTGGGAGGCCGAGACGGGCGGATCACGAGGTCAGGAGATCGAGACCATCCTGGCCTACACGGTGAAACCCCGTCTCTACTGAAAAATACAGAAAACTAGCCGGGCGAGGAGGCGGGCGCCTGTAGTCCCAGCTACTCGGGAGGCTGAGGCGGGAGAATGGCGTGAACCCGGGAGGCGGAGCTTGCAGTGAGCTGAGATCCGGCCACTACACTCCAGCCTGGGCGACAGAGCGAGACTCTGTCTCAAAAAAAAAAAAAAAAAAAAAAAGAAAACCCTCTCTTTGGTTCCAACACTATCATCCTTTTCAATTCTTCCTCTGCAATTACTTTCTTACTCTTTCTTTACGGTTCCATTTTACCACTACTGCCTCATCACCACAGAAGTGCAGCCACTTCTTGAACACTCACTATGTGCCAGGTGTTGCCGTGACAGCACTACATGAATTAACTCATTTAATCTTCATAACAAACTTCTGAGAAAACAAATTTTTCCCTAACTATATAGATGAGAAAAATGAAGCACAGAGAAGGTAAGCTGATAATTGGCGGCACTGGTATTTCAACCTAAGTGGTCATTTTAACCATTCATTAGAGCTGTTGTTCACAAATCACCTCACACCTTCAAATATCTGCCACCTGGTTACATAATCTCATGTCTCTTCTTTTTGAATTCACTTAACATACTGAGCCTAGACAATCTCTATAACTAAAACATTTTCCCATTCAATTATCTAGTTTACCTAAAATTAGTTTTAAAATACAGATCAAATGTGTGCAAACCAGGGGTCCAAGATTTTCTTTATACCCATTCTCTTTTCTGGCCTCATCAGTCATTTCATCCATCACACAAACACTAAGCTGGAGGTGATCTGGACTGCATTTTTATCCTCTCCCAGGGCCTAACACAATGCCTGAACATGACAGCTGTCAGAAATGTTTGCTAGATTAATAAATCAAAGACTTTATGGTTCTTCTGATACCTGGCTGTAGGTTACTGTTATGCCAGGGTTCCTGGTGTTTACAAAGAAATCTTACTACTTCCTTTATAATAGTAAAATAGCACTGTTTAAACATTCAAAAATTCACCCATGACAAAATAAGGCATTTCAGAATACTCAAATCGATTGTTTTTCTCTTTTCTTTAGCAAAATAGTAGCAACTGATAGCATTTCCAACATTGTGATTAAAAACATGAAAGTTTTTTTTTTTTTTTTTTTTTTTTGAGACGGAGTCTGGTTCTGTTGCCCACGCTGGAGTGCAGTGGCCCGATCTCAGCTCACTGCAAGCTCCGCCTCCCGGGATTACGCCATTCTCCTGCCTCAGCCTCCGGAGTAGCTGGGACTACAGGCGCCCGCCACCTCGCCAGGCTAGTTTTTTGTACTTTTTAGTAGAGACGGGGTTTCACCGTGTTAGCCAGGATGGTCTCGATCTCCTGACCTTGTGATCCGCCCGTCTCGGCCTCCCAAAGTGCTGGGATTACAGGCTTGAGCCACCGCGCCCGGCCGAAAGTATTTTTAATACTACCAAAAATTTTATTACTCACCTGTTGAGGAGTAATGGTATCTCTATAACTTGGTAAAATTTTTAGGGTGACACTTCCACTAATATTTTTCAGTAATTCTTGTAATTCCTTTGGATTGTTTCCAACCTCATGTCCATTGACTTCTTTAATTATATCTCCCACATGAAGTAGACCTTGTCGATCTATCATTCCCCCATGGAGGATTCGGGCGATTACCAGATCATTATTTTCAACCCTAAATGTCACACCCTATGAGAAATAAGAAAGAGATTTCTCATTTATTAGGGAGAAATGCTTAAATATTCATGAACATATGTAAGAAAATAAATGTAAAACTATGTAAAATGAATCATTCTTACTTTTCATATGTTCTCTCCTGTTTCAATATTTCACTCCCATTAAACTGTGTACTAGTATAGTTTATTACACTAGTGGATAGGATGTATCTTACAGGCTAAATGGAAACTCAGAGCGAAAAAAGGTATTTTGTGCATTCTGATGGACTTATTCCTTGCTTTTCCTTTTTTGCACTCAATGTTCTTATAGTCAGATCCAGAAGTAATAATTTTACCAAGGAATAGTAAACTTCACTACTTAGAGAGTCCTAGTATGGCTTCAATATTTAATAACAACTTCCTTCTATATTTTGATACTGTCAGTATTTCTTCAAAGGGCAGTTCATGCCTTCAAAGGGTAGGAAGAAACATAGTAGTCATCTTCTGAAATTTTTTGCTACCCTTTGCCATATTTCTACTTCTAGCTCAGTTTAACTTTTCATTTTGGTTTAATTTTGCAGACTAAACCAAATTGAGAGAGCATCAGCTGTGTCTTTATACACAGGCCAAATAAGAATACAGCTTTCATAACATTATGAAAAGGAAAAAAAATGAAAGAGTAGTGACTGAACCACAAATTATGTCATATTTCAGATTTAATAGGGCACTGATTTATCTATACTCACCAAAGGTTCCCCAGCTCTTTTGTGAATACCAAGAATACGAATGGCATCTACTGGTAATAACTGATTATTGATAGAAGAATTATTCATTTCTGGACTTGATGGAGGTGAATCATAACACTTTGATGCCACAATATCATGGGCCTCCAACAGTGACTATGAGGAGTCAAAATAGCCTGTGGTTATTTACAATACGTTGATGAAATATGTTACTAAAAGTACTTTGTTAGTTCATTATTCCAAGGGCTTACTCAACGTACATAGTATTAAATTCCCAAATATCAGGTTGATCAAATAAATATATAATTTTTGAGAGATAAAAATATATAGTTTTATTATCATCAAACAATATCATATTCCTTCTTTGAGATGTGAAGAGATTGACAGAGTTTAGTGATGCTTTTTAAAAACTGGCAAGTTCACTGGAAACTGAACCTAGGTTTCCAGTCTGGTACAAAGAAGGTACTGGATTTCATTGCCACCATTGTCATCATATCATTCAATATTTACCATCAATCCTATTTACTAAAATACCATAAAAATTCAAATTCAAATGACATTTTTACCTAACATTGCTATTTTAGTAATATGATATACTTTTTATATGTACAAAATGTCTGTTAAAAGATGTTCAATAGAAAATGAATAAATATTAGCATCTTATATCAGGGACAGAAAATTTTATATTATCAATAAAGGTTTTAGTTTATAAAAAGAATATTTTTTGAGGAAAAAACAAGTCAGTAATAGTCCTGAATATAATGTATTTTTTTAACTCCCAAATTTACTATGCATGTGCTATCAGTATGGGTAGTTTTGATCCAGCTTTCTAGGAATTGCTTTTTTTTTTTTTTTTGAGACGGAGTCTCACTCTGTCACCTAGGCTGGAGTGCAGTGATACGATCTCGGCTCACTGCAATCCCCACTTCCCAGGTTCAAGTGATTCTCCTGCCTCAGTCTCCCAAGTAGCTGCGACTACAGGTGTGTGCTACCATGCCCAACTAATTTTTTGTATTTTTAGCAGAGATGGGGTTTCACCGCATTAGCCAGGATGGTTTTGATCTCCTGACCTCGCGATCCACCCACCTTGGCCTCCCAAGGAATTTCTTAATTAATATTAAAATGTTAATTTTTTTTTTCATTTCTTATTCTAAAAGAATACTTTTTAGGCCAGGCATGGTGGCTTATGCCTGTAATCCCAGCAGTTTGGGAGGCTGAGGCAGGTGGATCATGTGAGGTCAGGAGTTCAAGACCAGCCTGGCCAACATGGCGAAACTCTGTCTCTACTAAAAACACAAAAAATTAGCTGGGCATGGTAGCATGTGCCTGTAATCCCAGCTACTCGGAAGGCTGAGGCAGAATTGCTTGAACCTGGGAGGCGGAGGTTGCAGTGAGCTGAGATTGTACCATTGTACTCCAGCCTGGGCAACAAGAGTGAAACTCAGTCTCAAAAAAAAAAAAAAAAAAAAAAAAAGAATTTTTACTGCAACTGTGCATATTCAACATAAAACTAAGTTTAAACATTCTTCATTCTTGAGGGGCTGGATAGAATCCAAGTTCAAAAACAATAAATCAAAATAAAAGCAAAAAATATTAACAGGTTCGGGATAAAAGCAATCAGGATAATTGGTAATTTCTGGTCATTTCATAAAACAATTCTCAAAACACCGGAGAAAAAAATTCAATAAAAACAACTCACAAATACATATGTAAGGATTCTTCCTATAAATGCTGGAAATCGCTAACCTGGGCTGCTTAGTTTTCCACCCTATATCCTCCTTAGGCAGTATTATTTTCTCCCATGACTTGAGCCACTACTTAAGCATTGACAACTCTTAAATTTCTATCTCTAGTTCAGAATTCTCATGTGCTTCAGATTTTTATAGTAAAAATTTGCCCACAACTTGTCAAAGTCATGGCAATATGAAAATTAAAAAAAGGGACTGTAAAACATTAAAACATTGAATAAAAAATCCATAGATCCACAATTCTATTTAAAAAAGACTGAAAGAACTCATTTGTTACCACTTGAAACTGCAATTTTAAACAGCTCTTCACTTTGAAACTTAGTAAAAGGAAGGTTCAAGTACATTCTTGCCTCTTCAGTAGGAAATGCACTAAGCAGCCCAGTTGATGAGAAGCTCAACATTATGGAAGAATACTAGCTAATAATGTAGAATAGAAAAACATCATTTTGCAACCTCTGATGAAAATGCTGATTTACAACCCAAAAGCTAGAAGAAGATGAAAAATAACAAAAATTAGAGCTGAGCTTAAGAAAACTGAGACACAAAAAACCTTTCAAAAGATCAACGAGGCTGGGCATGATCGCTCACGCCTGTAAACCCAGCACTTTGGGAGGCCGAGGCAGGCAGATCACCTGAGGTCAGGAGTTTGAGACCAGCCTGGCCAACACAGTGAAACACCATTTCTACTAAAAATACAAAAATTAGCTGGGCATCGTGGCACGTGCCTGTAGTCCCAGCTACTCAGGAGGCTGAGGCAGGAGAATCGCTTGAACCTGGGAGGTGGAGGTTGCAGAGAACCGAGATCGTGCCACTGTGCTCCAGCCTAGGTAACACAGTGACTCCACCTCAAAAAATAAATAAATACATAAATAAATTAAAAAAAAAAATCAACGAATCCAGGAGTTGGTTTTTTGAAAAAATTAATAGACAAGTCACTAGCTAGACTAATAAAGAGAGGAGAGCCAAATAAACATAATTAGAAATGATGAAGGGAATGTTACTAGTGAACCCATATAAATAAAAACAACCATGAGAAATTACTATGAACACTTCCATGCACACAAACCAGAAAACCTAGAAGAGACAGATAAATTCCTAGACATATACAACCTCCAAAGGCTGAGCCTGGAATAAACTGATTCCCTGAATAGACCAACAACAACCTCTGAAATTGAATCAGTAATAAATAGTCTATCAACCAAAAAAAGCCTGGGACCTAATGGATTCACAGCTGAATTCTACCAGATGTACAAATAAGAGCTGGTACCATTCCTACAGAAAAGTTATTCCAAAAAACTGAGGAGGAACTCCTCCCCAACTAATTCTATGAGGCCAGCCTCATCTTTATATCAAAACCTGGCAGAGACACAACAAAAAAAGAAAACTTTAGGTCATATCCTTGACAAACATTAGTGCCAAAATCCTCAACAAAATACCTGCAAACCAAATCAATCAGCACATCAAAAAGCTAATCCACCATGAGTTAAGTAGGCTTCATCCCCAGAATGCAAAGTCTGTTCAACATTTGCAAATCAATAAATGTGACTCATCACATAAACAGAACTAAAGACAAACACTACATAATTACCTCAATAGAGCAGAAAAGGCTTTCAATAAAATTCAACAACCCTTCATGTTAAAAATTATCAATTAAGTATTAAAGGAACATACCTCAAAATAATAAGAGCCATCTATGATAAACCCACAGCCAACATTATACTGAATGGGCACCTGTAAATAATATTGTGGTATCAAATGGAGAAGTCTAAATATGGTATGTGTATTATATGAGATGGAAGTTCACTGAAATAGAAAATTAGAAATAACTAAAGAGTAAAACACATTTGTGCAAAATGATCTCAAATTAGTAAAAAAATTACACACGTACATTTGTGCATAGAAAAATATGGACAAATATGCACCAAGACAGTAGAGTAGTGATCTGGGTAGAAGAAAGGCGATGTCTTCATTTTTGTATTTTTATTTGCTGGTATTCTAAAATTTTCATATGTTACACTTCATATAATGTATGTGCTTATATATTTATTAAGTTATAAATATTACTAATATGTGGCATTGCTGAAAACCTAGATCCTTCCAATGTACCACAAACCTAAGATGGCCAGTTTCCTTAACATAAATATGTCCAAAACATTCTCTTCTAGTGTTCCTTATCTCATTGAACAGCCATCAATTGTTTAAGTCATAAATAGTGTTATCAACTTCCCATCTCTCTTCCACAACTGTCATATGCAACCAATCACTAAATCCTGTTGATTTTACTGATTAAATCTTGAAAGTGTTTAAATTTCTTAGTATCTATATGTACTGCCATCATAATTTCTTGCCTTGGAACTTAACCATCTCATTTCACAAACCTGACCTTTCCCTGGTTAATACCCAACCCATACCTAAAGTTTCCCATTGTCCTTAGGATAAAGTCCAAATAATTCAGTTTGTCTTCATAAGGACTCAGTCAACTGGGACCTGCACAGGAGATGTCTCTGAGATGTGTGTCCATATTTCTTTTGTACCTAAGATACTAATTTATGTCGGAACCATCTCACTATAAACCTTCATATTTTGCAGTAACACTGTTGAAGAGTCACACAAAATCTTTGGCTGAGAAAGAGCAAAAGGCTGTTACCATTTGATTTTCAGTGCTAAGATTTGCAAAGAGCAGGTGACATTTATTTTACTCTATCCCAGCACCATTCTTTTTCCACTAAAATGCAATGTCCCAGTCATAAATCAAGTTACCATATATGGCTGGGATGTATTTATCGGGGATTTCCATTCTTTTCAATGAGTTAATTTTTCTAACACCTTCCCCAATACCACACTGTCTTAATTATTATATGTTACAAGAAATCTTGCCTGCCTTTTCTCTTCTGAAATGCATTCTTCTTTGTAAAACTGATGAACTCGTCACTGGTACATCCCATTGCTAAAATCATACTTATTTCTGTACCTGAGGAGATTATGTTATATAATGGTTTCTATACTGTCACAGCTCTCTTATGTTCCATGGTCACTGACTGCACAACAATCTTGAGAAGCAATACTAAAAAGTATTGACTAAGAAACAGAATGGTAGCGAGGAAGAAAAAAATCCATTATCATAGTGAGGAAAATGGCTCCAGCATGTGGTCTGATGGTGAATTAAGGTTGTTTTCTTTAATGGCACAAAGGAAAATCCATTGTGATGTATTTCTGCAACAGTGTACATTTATGTAGCACTGTAGTTACATATGTCTGTTTATATATCCTCAGCATATCAGGACATTAAAATACCAAGGTTGGAATTTACATACTTACCTATTATAGCCCTAAATAATCTTTGAAGAAAACATCACCTTAAAGTGGAAAGTAAAAGAGAATACTTTGGGAATACAGGGAACCTGAGAGTTAAGTGATAGGGAAAGTCACCTGGAAGTGAGGCTCTTTGAGTATACCAACCAGTTCTGCCACATTTTCATCCACATTTATTAGAGGAGTGATGTCTTCAAGAATTTCATTGACTAATTCCAAGTTATTGTCACTGACAGCTTCTAGTTTGGAATCTTCTAGCCTCTCATGAGCCTGAAAAAATAACATTGTATTAAAGTAATAATACTTACTTGTTTTGCACCAGACCATGGTTTATTTCTTTTCCATAAAGTTTTAAAATATATTACTTGGAGGTTTAATTCATGTAAACCAAATTTAATATTTCAACCAGAGGCAATATATAGATTTTACAGTAAGTATATCAACAAATAAAATAAATCTTGGTCTCTAGTTCTATCCTGAAAGTCATGAAAAACTCATTTTTATAACTAAACCATAAAAAAACTGGACAGGTCAGCTGACTACAAAACCTATTACAGTCCCTTACCACCAAGAGAATGCATAACAAAAACAAGAAATAGGAATGTGAAAATTATATATGCTAATTTTTTTTAAATGATAAAAATAATTTTGGAAACCCCAGAATCCAGAAGCTCGTATCTTCCAATGTTGAAAATCAGTGGGAAAAAAAGTCAGTTTAGAGCAGGTGGTGCTTAAATTGGATTTTGAAAGACTACATAATTAGGGAAATGATCCTCTCCTGTCTTTATAAGTAAAGTTGTTTTTTTCTTAATCTCACAATCTTTTTTCACAGAAAATAGACCATGAACCACACTGTTACAGAAAGTAAGTAATTTTAATCATCCTTTCATGGTAGGGGTAAAGCCGAGTTTTAAGTTCAAACTGAGAATGAACACTAAGCAGGCTCCATCTTTTAAGCATTCCTTGCTTTTTTGATAAATGGTTGCTATATAATTTTGAAGACAGGAAAAGCATAATTATTAAAATTTAATTCATAAATAAAACCATGTGGATGGCAAATCTTATCTCTTAGGATTCATTTCAAGGATTGCTAAAGAAAAATCCACATTTCAAATGGTAACAGTATCAACTAAACTTTTTCAGATACCTAAGCTATAATACTTCAGATGGGTTTTTTTTTTTTTTTTTCCCATACAGAGTGGATCCTTCAGAGTCCAAATAAAACATTCTAACTTTTAAAAGACAATTTTTCTTGTTTAAATCTACTTTTTCTAGGTAATTCACAGAAGTAAAATAAGTTCTTAAGTGGAAAAGAGAGATACATATTAAGCAAGATTTTAAAGAAAGACCTTAAAAGAAGAAATTCTAAGTCATATGAAATACTGAGAAAGAAGAAAAAACTCTTACTAAACAGAAAGAAAAGTATCAAAAGACCAAATGTAATTTAAATAGAGGAAGAAGTTTTATGAGATTTAGATTAAAACAAATTAAACTACAGTGGCTCACGCCTGTAATCCCAGTACTTTGGGAGACCAAGACTGGAGGATCACTTGAGTTCAGAAGTTCAAGACCAGCCTGGCCAACATGGTGAAACCCCATCTCTACTAAGAATACAAAAATTAGCCAGGCATGGTGGCGGGCACCTATAATCCCAGCTACCCAGCTAGTCAGGAGGCTGAGGCAGGAGAACTGCTTGAATCCAGGAGGCGGAGGTTGCAGTGAGCCGAGATCATGCCACTGCACAACAGCCTGGGCAACAGAGACTCTGTCTCAAAAAAAAAAAAAAAAAAAAAAAAAAATTAGACTAGAAAATGCCACAAAAAATGAAAATGGGTAAATTTGCAATTTTCTGAACATATAATACAAGCCAGATAAGGATGAGAAGATGAGGACACTCAATATTTATCATAAAAAGATTATCACCATTGGAAAAAAACAGAAAATAATCTACAGAATTAGTTAACTCTTATGAAATAAGCTAGAATTGCCAACTATTTAGATAGAAATATTTGCTGGAATAAACAGCCACTACCTGATTTAGCATCTTTAACCTTGTAATACTCGAATTATTTTAACATAGTATAAAAAGAAAGCTTCGAAGAAAAAAAAAAAAGGAAGGAAAGAACCTTAACATCTACTGAAGGACTTTCTTTCTGTGTTGGATACTATATCCTAAGTAGTGTGTGTGTGCGTGTGTGTATTCAGCAATGGTAGGTATATTATACTCACACTATGGACGAAGAAACTGATGCCAAAAAAGGTGAAGTGATTTGCATGAGTTCACTTTACCGGTGAATGGCAGAGTCGGGTAGTCTAATACCAAGACTTGAACTCCTATCTACTAAAGCTTACTTGACTTCATCTTTATATAGAGAGCCACTCTAACATTAAATTGCAGTTAATTATTCAATCCAATAAATGATGCATTATTCTCATTCACTTAAATGTATGACACATATCTCAGTCAGTTTAATTTAGTTGTTGCTTATTAGCATGGCTCTTCCAGTCTAGATGTGTTAATTCCATTATACCGTATCTATCCTCATAGTTATTTTATACTTCTATGGTTCAGAATACTACTCATCCCTTAAGACTTTCACTCCTTTGCTCTAAGTAAGAGCTATAAAGACCATTTATTTCTTCAGGAAAATGTTATATGATTAGCAACAGTACTTTAGACATCAGCAGTCCTTGGTTTAATTCAGGACTTTGGGACAAGTTAAGGAACAGAAATGATCAATGACTTGAAAACTCCATTCCTTAGTATGTGTATTAACCCGATGCTCCCAAATTGGGTGAGGAGAAGTAGGAATGTGGAAAGACTGATGGCAAGAGGTTGGGGGTCGGGCGGGAGAATCAAGTGAGAGGGCAGAATCATGTCAGAAAAGAACCCCAAAATATCTGAAGATTTCTTCATATCAGCCTCACAGTTTGGTTCTATGGAAGAAGAGAATCTCACTAGAAAATACAAAACTTGAAGACAGAAAAAAGCTTTTTTTTGAAACTGTACATCTAAATATATTAACATGGAAAACCAACATACTTGGGTTCAACTGGGATCAATTTTACTTTTTCTAAGAAAGCAAATGCAGGCCCACATTTATTAATATATAGCTTTTTAAGCTCTGAGACGTTGTCAGAAACTTGGAACCTCTAACTCACTTTAAGGTCAGATTTTTTTTTTATTAGCCGTCAAGAGGCAAGTACCAACTTTAATTTAACTAATTAAACTAAAAAATACAAAGAAAACACACACAAAAATCAGAGGAGCAAGTGAGCCATATGCTATTTAAATAAATAAATCTTGTTTCTTTTCTTTTTTTTTTTTTTTAATTAAAGACCACTATTGCAACACTAGCTTAACTCAATAAAAATATATTTCACTTGTCACAAGTGGTTGGAAGAACATTCTATGACTGGCATTGAATATTTGCAGCTGATACAAATATGGCCTAGCCTTCTTAAATATCCTGTTCTGAGGATTTTATTCACCACTGCACCTTTGAGAAATGAACTTCAGAGAAGAAAATGTTCTTTCAGAACTTCTGGGTATTTCACTCAAGGACAATCCAACCATGCTTGCAAACAAAAGTTGTGGGCTATATCTAAAGTGACAAATACCATTTTGAAATAATAATCATATTATTATTATATGTAGAAAACTGGTCTTTCTAAAACACAAGGGCAATATCATAAATTTTGTTTCTATATTTTGAGAAAAGAGCTATGTATGTAGTAGTTACTTATTATTTCTTGAAAAAGCTAAGTAAATGGGAAATAAGTTTGGCTATGATCAAGCGCCACCCTCTTTTTTTATTCTAGAGACCTAAAACTCAAGATCAACATAGGTCCACAAATATTCAAAAACAAAGAAGAATTTTTGAGCAGACAGTAGAAATGAGACAGAGAGAATGGAGAACTCAATTTCTATTTTGTTTCTGCATACATTATATCAAAAAGGATGAGCTCTGTTGCTCTGAAAAAAATAAAAAAAGATGAGTAAGTATAAGTAAATCAGAATGGAATTCTCTAGTGAGTAAAGAACATACCAGAAATCACCTAGTTAACCAAAATACAAACTCAGAGATTAGGTAAGTTACATATCAAGGTACTCAGGAAACTTCTAAATAGCACTGCTGAGCTTCTCTTAGATACATCTGTAGAATTAGGAGAACCACACAGATGTCAAACAACTAGAAAAGGGAATCTGTTAAATTTTTAAAAGAAAAAAAGAACATTTTAAAAGCTTGGCTTTAATAGTAGTCAGAGGAAATACAAAATAACCTTTTTATAACCTTTGAGTGGGAAAGATCTTTCTAACTATAACACAAAATCTGAAAGATACATACATTATTTCAAAAAAGGCCCAATAAAATTAACTTCATGAACGTCTTAAATTTCTCATCAAAAATCGACAAAGTCAAAATACTAATGACAAACTAGCATCAAAACACAAATCATACTCAAGACAGAAAGCTAATGTCCCTACTTATGAAGGACTTCTACAAATCAATAAGAAAAAGATCAATGACTCATTAAGAGAACTGGGTGAAGAGTTTGAGCAAAAAATTCACAGAAAGAAAAATTCAGGGGCCTGTCTTTAAAAATTTAATTTTATATTTCTAATTGACACATATTGTACATATTTATGGTGTACAATGTGATGTTTCAATACACGTATATCCATAGTATTATGATCAAATGGGGTAATTACCATATTCACTATTTTAAATATTTATTTTTTTGGGGAATGACAACATTCAAAATCTTCTCTTCTAGCTATTTTGACATATGTATTACATTGTTACTTGCAATAGTCACCTACTGTGTATCGAATATCTCAAACATATGAAAAGACACACAACTTCACTCATAAGAGTGAAAACTAAAACTAAAAAACTAAAACTAAAACTATAATGAAATACCTTTTCTCTTTATCAGATTGGCAAAGATAAAAATTCTGATGAGTGAGAATGTGGGAGAAGACAGACATTTTGACATATTTTTTCTAGTGGGAACGTACACTGGTAAGCAAATTGACCATATCCACCAAAATTACAGTGATTCTTTTTTTTTTTTGAGATGGAGTTTTGCTCTTGTTGCCCAGGCTGGAGTGCAATGGCACAATCTCAGCTCATTGCAATCTTTGCCCCCTGGGTTCAAGCGATTCTCCTGCCTTGGCCTTCCGAGTAGCTGGGATTACAGGCATGCGCCACCACGCTTGGCTAATTTTTGTATCTTTAGTAGAGACGGGGTTTCTCCATGTTGGT